CTGGGCAAGAAAGAAGTCTTAAGAGATGAGGTGGTTGGAGAGGGGAACAGTGAATTACCTGCCAACTCAGATGAATTGGACGGGGTTGATAGATTGAGTGATGTCTCTGCTGTTTCTGAAACAGATATGATAAAGGATGGGTCTGAGGAAGGTGGTGCATGCGTAAGTCAACCAGCAGGGGTAGGGTTGAGCTATGAGCAATATGATGATGGTGATAGGTGTAGGGTAGACGCCGAAGTATACACCTCGGGGTTTATCAGAAGTCTGAGTGGGTCACATGGTAATTGGCAAGGTATCTAACTTGAAGTGGATCTTAATGGGGCCCAATTAGCAGGTGGTCTAGCTGGGCCGGCCCTTACATCTGATGGGCTGGTTCAGTCTCATTATAATAATCCTCAACATGGCTCTGAGGGGTCGGCCCATAGTTTTGCTGGGCAGGTTCAAATTCAACATTACAACCCACAAGGTCCATCTATTTATACGGCTCATTCATTACAAGTTCCCTCTTGTCCAGCTAGTAAGGTGAAATTGAAGGCAAAAGAAAGAGCAGTATCAAGAATTCAGTTTCAGAAAAAGCAAACTAAGGGGAAGTTCGGGGTCAACAAGAGATTGGAGGCATCATCTCTGAACTTGAGGAAAGGAGCTGTCTTCAGGTCAGCTGTAGCAGTCATTTCATTATCCATGGCAAGTGGAAATAGTAGAGGTCGGAGAGTGCTATCGGAGGCAGAGGCTTCTATACAAATTGGTAAAGCGTTGGGTCTAGAATGTGAAGATAAAGAAGAGAAGGTGCTGAGCAAGTTAGAGGAGTTGGAAGCTCAAGATAAACAGAGAGCTAAGAAGAAGGAAGGAGTGAAAAGCTAGTCTGTTATATCCAGCTGTTTTAAGAGTAATTTTCATACTCATGAAGATACAATCTTGGAATGTGAGAGGAATTGGAAGACCTGAAAAAAGGAGGAGGATCAAGAAAAGTCTTTTAGATAGGAAAGTGGATATTGTGTTACTTCAAGAAACTAGGAAGCCAGCAGTGGACTCTGATTTGGTTAGGTCTATGTGGCCTGGGGATAATTTTGATTATATGGGTGTAGATGCGATTGGTCGAGCTGGAGGACTATTATGTATTTGGAATCCTGAGGTATTTCAACTGAAGGCTTGCTGCAGTACACAAAATTTCATCCTATTATCAGGTACATTATTTTCCAGTTTTGATTGTGTTGTCATAAATGTGTATGGTCCTAATGAGGTGGGCAAAAGGAAAGAGACGTGGGACTCTCTAGTAAGGTTGAAAGCTAGTTTTATGGGGCCATGGTGTTTGGGGGGGACTTCAATGAAATCCGGAGTATTTCAGAAAGAATAGGGTGTTTAAGAAGGGATAGAGGAATGAGGGATTTTAATAATATGATTGATCAATTAGAGTTGATAGACATGCCTCTGTTAGGGAGGAAGTTTACGTGGTGTAACTCTCAAGCAAGGGAGAAATGGAGCAGAATAGATAGATTTTTGCTTAATTATGAATGGGTGCAGAATTTTTCTTTCAAACTATGGGGACTTCCTAGATTATTGTCTGATCACTGTCCTATTATTTTAATGGAGGATGAGAGGGACTGGGGCCCTAAACCCTTCAGGTTTCTTAATGCCTGGATTCTACATCCAAAATTCATTTCCTTTGTTCAACAAAGTTGGTCAGAACTTGGTGTGACAGGATGGGCAGGATACAAGTGCCTTATGAAGTTTAAAGCACTGAAACAGGCTCTTAAGAAGTGGAATGTGGAGGTGTTTGGTAGGATTGAATTAAAATTGAAAAGTGTGGAAGACGAGGCTTATTCGCTGGATTTGTTAGCTGAGGAAAGACCATTACTTGATACAGAATTGATTAGAAGAAAGGAAGTGAGGGGTGAAGTTTGGAAGTTAAGTAAAATGTTGGAATGGATTTGGTTACAAAAATCTCGTTTGAACTGGGCAGCTAAAGGGGATAAAAACACTAAGTTCTTCCATATAATGGCATGCAGCAGAAATAGTAGGAATTCTCTGTGTTCAATATCAATGAATGGTATGTTGCTTGAAGAGCCTTCGGAAATTAGAGATGCAGTTCTAGTTCACTTTATGAGGCTATTTTCGGAAGACTGGAAAGTCCGTCCCAAATTGTCTGGCCCTTTCAAGAGTATAGGAGGTGCTCAAACTGTGGCACAATTGGAGGCAGATTTTACAGAGGAGGAGATCTGGAATGCTATAAAGTGTTGTGATGGAAATAAGGCTCCTGGGCCTGATGGGTTCAACATGTCCTTTAAGAAATGTTGGCAAATAGTGCGGGTTGATGTATTACAGTTTATGAGGGAGTTCCATCAGAATGCTAATCTGGTTAGTGGAATTAATAGCTCTTTTATCGCCCTAATTCCAAAAGTTTCAAGTCCTTCTTACTTGAATGAATATAGGCCTATTAGCTTGATTGGATCCTTGTACAAAATCTTAGCTAAGGTGTTAGCTAACAGATTGAAAAAGGTGATGCCCAAGATTATTGGTGAGGCCCAGTCAGCTTTTTTGGGGGGAAGGAATATCTTAGATGGGATTTTGATAGCTAATGAAATAGTGGATGGGTGCAAGAGATCTAACCGAAAAGGTTTGGTGCTTAAGTTGGATTTTGAAAAGGCCTATGACTCGATTAATTGGGAGTTTTTATTTGATATGTTGTCGAAATTTGGCTTTGGATCTAGATGGGTTAGATGGATGAGATCTTGTGTTTCCTCTGCCAAGATCTCTGTCCTAGTTAATGGGTCACCAACATCTGAGTTTTGTCCACAAAGAGGTCTTAGACAAGGAGATCCGTTGTTACCATTCTTATTCAACATTGTTGCAGAGGGCCTCAATATCTTACTGAGTAGAGCTAAGGAGTTGGGCATAATTAAAGGGGCTGAGGTGGGTTCTAATGGCCTTAGAGTCACACATTTGCAATTCGCGGATGATACGATTATGTTTTGTGGTGCAAATAGAGTGGAGGTGACCAACATCAAAAGAATTCTACGATGTTTTGAGATTGCTTCGGGCTTGAAAATTAACTATCACAAGAGTGTCATTTGTGGTGTTGGGGTGGATGAGGAAATAGTGCAAGAGTTTGCTGATTCTTTATATTGTCTTAACCAAAAGTTGCCTCTCAAATATTTGGGACTACCTTTGGGGCAAATCCTAGCTGGAGGAGTACCTGGAAACCTGTTATTGACAAGTTCAAATAGAAATTGTCCTCATGGAAGAGAAGGTTGCTATCCTTTGCCGGGCGCCTAACTCTAATCAAATCTGTTTTGTCCTCTTTACCTATCTATTATATATCTTTGTTCAGAATTCCAGCTGGAGTGGCTAAGGAGATTGAGAGATTGCAATCAACTTTTCTTTGGGGTGGCTCTGATCTTAGAAGAAAAGTTCACATGGTCCGGTGGGAGGTGATTACTAAAAATAAGAAATTAGGAGGGTTAGGTGTGAGGAGGATTAAAACTTTGAATCAGTGTTTACTATTAAAATGGTGGTAGAGATTTGGTGCGGAGAATCATTCGCTTTGGAAGGATGTGATCTGTGCAAAATATGTGCCAGTGGATGGTAGATGGTTCCCAAAACTGCTTGGTAGAGGTTCAAAACTTTGGACTGATATAATTCATGTTGTTCATTCCAATTCAGAGCTGCATCAATTCTATATGAATAATTCTAAGATAGTTCTGGGGGATGGGAGAAGAGCTCTTTTTTGGAGGGACAAATGGGTGGGTAATGTTTGCTTAATGGATGAATTTCCTAGGCTCTTCTTATTATCTAATGATAAAGATGGTGTGGTTAGAGTGTTTTTTGAAAGAAGGGCAGAGGATGGTGGATGGAACCTGGGATTTAGAAGATCTTTGATGGTTTGGGAGGAGGAAGAAGCTTATAGATTATCCTGTCTGCTTTGCACTGCACCAACACTGCGCAATACCAATCCTGATGAGCTTCTTTTGTGCGCAGACTCCTCGAAGCTCTTTTCTGTTTCTTCTGTTTATAAATGGTCCGAATCTTCTTTGGGAACTGTAATTCCAGTGGCTGCCTCAATTTGGAACAACTTTGCGCCCCCAAAAGTGCAATTTTTCGGGTGGTTAGCTTGGCTTGGTAAGGTTAAAACATCTTCTTTCATTCATAGAATTGGAATTCTCACAGGTAATGCAAGTCTTGACTGTGTTTTCTGTCATATTGAGGTTGAATCTATGGAACATATTATGCTTCACTGCCCTTTTGTGTGGCTGCTTTGGTCAGATATTATCCACTGGTGGGAATTGCAGTGGGTGATTCCAGGATCGGTGCATGGTTTGCTGGAATGGTGGTCCGAGTGTGTAATGCAGAAACTGGAGAAGAAAATCTGGATGGCAATCCCTTAGGCCACTCTCTGGACCACATGGAAGCACAAAAATGACTGTGTTTTTAATGGTTCTCAACCAAATCTGGAAGCTTTGTGTGAATTAGTGAAGGTTAGAGTTGCTATGTGGTTCAAAGCATCGAAACTCCAGGTTGATTTCTCCATCAACGACTTGGTCTTTAATCTGCCTCAGGTGAAATATTGTATCAGGAATGGAGGGTGAAGGTTCTAGTTCTAGACTGGTGCATTTTGGTCTCATAAAAGGGCTGGGTTATTGTCTGGAGCTCAAAACAGAAGTTCAATGACTTTTCTGAGTTTGTAGAATGAGAAGGACCAAGCTATTGAGGTTGTGGTATGAGAAGAATCTAAGTGTGGAAAGGATCATCAGGGTATCTATGTATTTGTTTTTGTGGGAAGGATCATCAGTGTATTTGTGTTTTTGTTTTTGTGGGAAGAATCAAGTTAATTGTTTGCTGGTCTCTTGGTGTATTTGTGTTGGTGTTTGGTTGTAATGTGGAGTGCAGAACTGCTGTGGTTAAGTGCTCTGATGAATTGCTGTAATGTGGAGTGCAAAACTGCTGTGGTTACGTGCTAATGGTTGCAAAAGTACAGGCTGAACTGATATAAGGTGGAGTGCTGGTGGGTTGTTAATTTGGGTCAATGGTGCTCTGCTATGTGGGCTGTTAATCTGTTTTGAGTTGGAAATTTGTGGGCTAGTGGTTTGTTTGTTACATTGGTTGGTTCTGTTGGTCTGTTGGTGGTCTAAGGTTTGCTAATCTGTTGGTTTGTTACATTGTTTAGTTATTTGTTCTGTTTTTGGTTCTCTTGTCTGTGATCTGTTCTTCTGTTTTTTCCTTTCGGGTTTGGTTCCTCACCAAACTCCTTCCCTTTATTTGATGTAATCTCATATCTTGTATGATTTTCCATCTATAAAGGTTACTTCTTTTTGCCGATCAAAAAAAAAAGTTCATATTTTCAAACTTATTTAAGAACAAAAGGAAAAACTTCAACAAAAAATAATTCACAAGTACTTACCCACACGTTATATAATGTCAGTTTTGAATCATAATTCCATTGTTGTGGTAAACAAAGCTACCAAGAATTGCAACTATTATGAAACTTATAGTTTTCAATGCAAGTGATCTCTGATAAGTATTTTACAATTACAACAAAAGGGCTTCCTGTTTAAGAGAATTAAAGTTGCTTAATAACCAAAACACGTCTATAATGAACATATTCCAGATCTAAACTCTACTTCAAGATTTGTGTTCCTTCTACCTCAAACATTCAGCTAATTGCTACAATTGAGATAAATAATATTCTGATATAATCATTATACAAGAGACCCACCAAGAATAGGGTTATCCTGATTTTTCATGAACAAAGTTAAATTGCAATTTAAAAAAAAAAAAAAACCAATGAAATATCTTGAAATTGGAGTAAATCACAAACTTAATATGCATCAGTTTTACTAAATAAATAGTAAATATATATATACAGATAGATAGATATATATATATATACATAGAGAGAGAGAGAGAGACCTGGCATCTGAGTGGTGGTGGCATCCAAGAGAAGAATAAGAGAGAAGGCGATGGCGAGAAGGCGAAGTCTAGGAGCCTCCATTTCCCTTGCAATTCGAGGAGCTGCAACGGAGGAGCCGCCGATCGAGCTTCCATAAGTGATGGATCTCAGGCGACGGTGACCAACAACGAGGTGAATCAGTGCTCCGGTTGCCGGCGACCGTGAGGGAGGGGAGAGGAGCAGCGGAGAGAGAGAGGCAGAGAGAGAGAGACAGAGGCGCTACAGAGAGAGAGAGACAGAGGCGCTGGTTTGGGTTTAGAAACCAAATGTATATATTACACCATTAGCGCCTAAATATGTTTAGTGGCCAATTAATTTTAAATCCCTCCAAAATTTGAAATATTTCCCTCCAAATATTTTAATTTTTTGACGATTCAAATATTTTTTTATCGCTAAAAATAAGTTTTTAGCGACTAAACTTTTGGTCACCAAATATAAAAAATAATTTTTTATTTTACATTTGGCGACTAAAATATTTTTTGTCGCTAAAAATATGTTTTTGGCGACCAAATATTTGGTCGCCAAAGATAAAAAATAATTTTTTATTTTACATTCGGCGATTAAATTATTTTAGTAGCCAAAACTCAATATACGGCGACTAAAATATTTTTTCTATTGCTAAAAATATGTTTTTGGCGACCAAACTTTTGGTCGCCAAAGAAAAAAAATAATTTTTTATTTTACATTTGGTGACTAAATTGTTTTAGTAGTCAAAACTCAATAAACGGCAACTAAAATATTTTTTTTGTCGCCAATTCTTTATTTTTAGCGACTAATTTTTTTTTAGTCGCCAATAATCAATATACCCCAACTAAAAAAAATTAGTAGTTAAATATTATACTTTTGCTGACTAAAAAAATTTTGGTCGCCAATTTCACAACTTTTGGCGACTAAATTTTTTTTAGTTGCCAAATTTGGTCGCCAAATGTGTATTTTGTTATAGTGACATCAACACCATACCCACCTATATCACTATTACAATAACCCGACTGCAAGTGTAGACGCGCCCTTGAGAACTCCCGAGAAAATCTCGTTTTGTTCTCTAGCTACTACAGTTCGGACTCAATGTCACGGTTCTTAATCTGATCTCACAATGTGCGATGTGAGATTAATAAATCACTAAAGAGTCCAAATCTGGCAAATTGTTTTAGAAAACTGATTTTTGTAAAGAAGTGTCAAACATGGACTTCTTTGCCAGATACAGAGTCGCCACCTAAATATTTTATTTTGGGGGAATTTAGGAAACCCTGACTCGTACCTAAGGCCACGTGTCCGTCATCACCAAAGTTGCCTCGGCTTGGGAGCTTGGGTACGATTGGAGAAGATCATGCAATGAGCACCCCCGCTCGACCGATCAAAGATCGGCCTGTACTAAGCATGATATCTTGTTTTTGAAAACACATCCGTTCTTATTCCGGTTATTAGCTAGTATTACTAAGTGATGCGCACAACACACAAGTATAGACTAGATCGCCTAATTTGGAACAAAGCATTGCATATCCGTTTGTTTGGAAAATGATTTGAAGTTTGCTACTCGCAAGTAGGCTAAAATACAGATTTGATGAATTGTTCCAATTCAAGCAATCCAACCTTCACCTACAGGCATTCAGGCAGTTATATCATATAAGCAATTAGCCTCATGGCAAGCATGCTGTCATGGCAACACTTACACACATGCAAGATGCTAAAGTATAAACACTTACAGTGTACTCCGAGCCAAAATAAAGAACTAGTTAGTAATCAATGCATAATCCTAGTCTATGTCAAGATGGTTAATGCAGCACATGCAAAATGCAATTAGAAATAGGCTCAACTATTCTAAGATGGCATATGAGATGCGACAAATCGATACACGTATTCAAATAGGAATTGAAATACAATGCAGTTAGTATGATGCGCCGAGCCCGGTGCATGCAATACAGATGAATGATGCAAACATGCATAGCATAAAGATGCTAAATGGAAGCGGTTAAGTAAAAGGGAGAAAGAAATTGGGGTTGGAAGACATGCATCACACGCACGCTTATTACACCAATTGGCTCTCTCGAGGGAGAGACCGAAAGAATAATAGAAATCAACAAATTAACTAACTTACAAGCTAATTAATTATTACACAACTCTTAACTAATTAAACAAATTAATTAAGCTATGAAAATAGTAAAGCAACCTCGGGAAGAGGAACAAATGCATGCTTGGTCGGCTTCGCTTGGAAATCCGTTGCCATGCCTCATGTGTGCCTCTGTTTGCACTGTTTTGCACTTCTGAAAATTGCACAAGTCTCTGTGATGCTCCAGAACCACTTCATGGTCATGCTGAGAGGCCATCGGCCAAATGGAAAGGCCATCGGCCAAGAGATGAAGGTCATCGACCAAAAATAAGGCTCTCGGTCTGCCATTGTTAGCCGATCGACACTGAATATGGTCGATCGGCTGTTCATTCCTGTTGACTGCTCCTTTTGCTGCAACAGACGACAAACAGAGCATGGCAATGCATTTGTAAGAAAATGTTTGCAACCACACCCCTTATCATGTTTAAGACTCAAAGGAGTGTAGTTCTCGACCCTCGGGCCACCAATCACGCATTCCAATGCATGATGGCCAAAGGAGCCAAGTGTGCAATTCAATATCAAATGAAATGCACAAAACACATAAGGGGCCCCAACCTCTATCATGCTTGATCAAGAGGCAAGGGATGCACACATAATGCAATGCAAACATGCAAGCATGATGCGAACAACTCAAGCATGCAACAAGTAAATATGCAACAACATGAAATCCAAGCATACAAACATGCATGCATACAATGTGATAGGTATGCAACAACAATGCTAACAACAAGCATGCAATGACATGTAATCTAACAAGTATGGAAGATGGTTGAGCATGCAACAACATGTCAATTAGTAAGCATGCAATAACATGTAATGGACCAGGTATGCGACAAACATATAAGCATGATGTACAGTAACAACTTTGAACAACATGGTAAGAAGCAACATGAACATGGAAACATGCAAGGCATGTAAAGGTTTACAAGTATGCAACAACATACAAAATGAGACAAGCATGTGACAACATGGTAAAATGGACTTAAACTAAAGATGGATAGACCTCAGCCATGCCCAAAATCAGTGGCCGAAATGCTATGGAAATGAAGACAAAGGTACATACAAACATGCATGCCAATTGCCTATCACCTAAGCATAGGAGAGAAACTTTCAAGAACACTTAAAAGAGGACAAACATGGACATGTGGCATACATGGTAAGCTCTGAAATCATGCATGGAGAGGTGTCAAACCAACTAAATAATGCAAGCATAGTACGTAAGAAAGCCTAAAGCTTGGAACTAGCCGAGGGACTTAAACCATGGCCATGGAAAACATGAAGCAAATGGAAAGTATAATCCAAAGCAGCCCTAGATCATGTCAAAACGAGCC